GGTGGCGACAGATGGCGACTCCACTGGGGAAGCCTCGAGAGTCAGTCCCATTTAGTGATGGATTATTTCTAAAATAATAGTTTAAAATTACTTCATTACCCCTCACTTGTATGATAATAGGCTTTATCTATATGGCTTTTAATAACTGTTGTATGTTTAAATTTTCGCAATTGTTTGAAATATAAACTGCACACAAACCTTTGCACACAACAGTTCGCTCTATACCCGGGGGCATGAGTGGAAAGCCATAGGGAGTGGATGTTAGTACGGCCGGTTGTCGAATGGGTCTATAGGTGCCCGTAGACCGTTGTCGTTCAAGGAGTATTACACCCCTATAAATAGGTGTTGCAATGGAACTGTTCAGCATTGTAAAAAAATACAAGAACGTAGAAAGAGGAATACGTGAAAGGGAAAGACAGTGTGTTAGAAACAATTTCATATCTACTAAGGTAAGGGGAGGAGAACCTTGTTTCTTTAAAATTTTATTTACTACTATGTTATTTATTTATGTTATTTTCTTGATACATTTATCTAGTGAGGTGCCCCTAACCTCATTTATTTGCTTAACCTATGCTCATTTTTATCTATAATAATTGCTAAGGTGTTCATATTTTATATTGTTTAATTATTTTATATTGATTGTCATATTTATTTTTATTATTGGTACTCTTAATATATTCTTTTTACGTAAATATTTATTATTAATATATTTATAATTAACTATAATATAATTGTGATATCTTGAAATTGTCTTGCTGTTATTTTGCATGAATTTATGAAAATAAATATTGTTCTATGGCCATAGACGATAAAGTTTGAATTATTTATAGCTGGAGGTTTGACCTTGGGGATTTAAATGAGTAAACATTCATGGTAAAATATTCTGTTGATATTGGGTTGACAAATGATGTCTCAAACATTCATCATTCAAAACAAGAAAAAGTAGGATCGAGTTAATTTACCTTGGAGATTGAAGAGTGGCACAAAGCAGCGTGTGAAGAAGCTTGATGGAGCGAAGGAGCCTACCCGGCCACGAGGACCGAAACGGAAGAGTCGCGATCGGGAAGACACTGCATCCACAACGAGCGTGCTACCCTGCATTCACAGCACAGTGAGTTGAACACTGAAACACACCAAAAACGAATCGAAAATAGTTTTTGTTTTATGACGAATTGTTACGTGTCGATGAATGGAGGCGCAGGGGAATGCGGGGAATGAAACGACGCGTTTCTTGATTGCTCGGAGCAACGCGCGAGTCACCATTGTTTCTTCGGATATGGCTTCGTAAGAAACAGTGATTAAGCTTAAGGGAGGAGTGGGAGTGTCATGTGCGTTGGTGACGACGCCTCAGAAAATAAATTAGGGTACAATTTAAAATTTAGAATAAACTTTTAAGATCTTGAGAGCTCATCTTAAAAGTGATTTAGTGGTATTTTTGTAAATAAGATTACAATTTTTAAGATCGATCATATTTTAGCCGACTTTTAAGATCGGCTAAAATGTGACCGATCTTAAAAGTTGTAACCTTATTTATAAAAATGTCACCGCATCATTTTTAAGATCGGCTCTTTAGTGACAGATCTTAAAAATTGTAACTTTATTTTAAAAAAATGTCACCGTACTACTTTTAAGATCGACTCTTTAGTGACCGATCTTAAAAGTTGTAACTTTATTTACAAAAATGCCATTGTTTCACTTTTAAGATCGGCTCTTTAGTGACCGATCTTAAAAGTTGTAACCTTATTTACAAAAATGTCACCGCGTTACTTTT